GAGAAAGAAGTGTGTGGTGAGGGATGAGGAAGATGTCAGGAAAGAGGGAAGAAAAGGGGGATCAGAAAAAGGAGGGGCTGATGGGTATGGAGAGAAGAAGTGTGCTCCCTGGAAAACAGGTTGCTAGGCTTTTAGAAGTTTTGTTTTGCATATGGAATCCTCGGCCCAAACTGTCCCCTATGGGAAACATCAATCTTCAGGGTTTTGTCCGGCCTCTAGGCTCCCCCAAGAAGTGTGTGTGGATGAAACAGCGCTGCTGTGAGTGGTCTCAGGGGGTTGCGCTCCTCTAAGATACAGACCACCCAAGCACCGGCATCCCAGCCAGCAGCTTCTTCGGGTTCTGGAGTGTTTCCTGGTCCCTGGACTAGAAGCCCCGCCCTTTGGAAATTAGAAACATGTTTTTAAAAAGTTGAAGCAAGTTTGATCTTAGCTCATATTGCAGATATAGATTTTAAGTAATGACTTAGACTCATTCTTGAGTGACCAGTAATGATCAGGTCTATCTTTCAGGATTGGTGGAGTTCCTTCTCTTTCTTGGAGCTAGTTTTGGTCACCGCCTCCTGTACAATGTTGCGAACCTCCAGCCATAGTTCTTCAGACGCTCTGTCTTCCAGATCCATCGTCCTTTGCCCACTCCCACTATTTTTCTCTGAAAAGCCTTGTCCTGACTTTGCAAGTGTGAAGGTTGACAAGTCTCTTAGAGTTGTAGGATGTGTGCACTTTTCCGTTCCGAGAGGTTGGCTCTTAACTATTTCAAACGGCTTCGTCTTTTCCTCCTGGCTGTGGCTGATCACGCCAACACGACTGGACTAGCCATTGTTTCTGCAAAGCCTCGGTATTTTTCCCCTAGGCATTCTTGCCGGCCGGCCTTTTCTTTGTTGTTAAATATTCACTGTTTGCCAACTCCAGACCTTTTGGGAGACCGTCAGCTCATTGAAGAAGGCCTTGTCTGTGGGGACGGCTTTAGTTTTAGACCCGAAGTTCAATGGCTGAGGCTCTGGAGTCGGAACGCGTTCCAGGACCGGCGGAGAGCTTTCGCTCTGCACCCCCCGGAGAGGGTTTTCGGAAAGAGTTGAGGCACTAGTAGGAGGCGGGTCTGAGGGCTGAGAGAGGCGGGCCCGCGCTTCTTTCCCGTGGGCGGCTCCCACAATCCCCAGCGCCGCCGCTCGCGGACCCTGGCGAGCCCGGCTGCGGGGTCCGAGGCTTCCGAAGCTCTTCGGGCGCGGTCGGCGGAGCCGGGGAAGCCTTCGCCCCGCCCCTTCTGCCCTCCCCCTCCCTCCCCCAATTTCCGGCACTGCGCACTTCGGCAAGTTCCGCCGGTACAGGTCGGAAATGGCTGCTCGCCAGCAGGGGGAGCGGAGGATCCGGTGCGGCCTGGAAGGCGGGCTGCAGGCGGCGAGAGCGGCTTTTGGGAACCCGAGTCTCGCGCAGGCGGCAGCGGCTCGTCCCTGAACTGGAAGCCGGTAGGACTCCTGGCGGCGGCGGGAGCCCCGAGGAGCCGGGGTGGTGGTCCGGAAGAGGTTCGTGGTAGGGACCCCGGGGCCGGCCGCGAGAGCCGGGCACCGGGCTGGACGGGGTCTGGCTGCTCTGGGGTCGCGGGAACCGGGGGGGAGGCTGCTGCCCTGCGTGGCGGGGGCGTGCAGCCTCGGAGTAGGCCTTGCCAGACGTCTCGGGGGCCCGGGAGAGACCTCCAGGGCCTTAGCCACCAGTGAGGAGGATAACCGGTAACGGGCCCCACCCTGGGGGTATAGGGAGCTCTAAATGCGACCTCCCCACCCCCACACGCCCCCTAGAGCCCTGGTTACCTCGCACCCACCTCCACCCCTTTTTCTAAAGGCTCAGCCTCAGCCGTGCAGCCACTTCTGCATCTGAAAGTCCTCCCCCATCCTTTGCCCCCCTGTGTTTGTCCAGCTGCTTATGTAGAGCATCTTCGGTTCACGAAGGGGCATCCGGCCCGCCCCCACCCCCGTTCTGAGCGCGCACACACTTCCACATCTGCTTTCCGCTGCATTCAGACACAGCCGCCTGCAGCTGCTCTTCCTTGGCCTCTTTTCACCCAGCTCACCTCCTTTCACGAGGAGCCCGCAATCAGAATAGCCACTTCCTGCCCAAGGAAGGGTCCAGGTGCTCCTCTTCTGTGCATCTGGGGCTCTGGTACCCAGGCTCTCTAGTGATGGGCCTAGCGCTGCTCAGGCGGGAGAGGGGCTGTGGAGAGCGCGTCTGCACGGCTGAAATCTTAGCAGAGTTAACCGAGCGCGCGGCAGGGTGCAGTGTGAATCCGAAGCGCTTTGGAAGCCCGGCAGGGCTGCCAGACTGCAGAGAGGCTGTTTCTCTTCTCTACCGCTTGAGCCATTGTTATTCGTGGCTCTCAAAAGACTTGACTTCGGTGGATTCTTCCCCTGTCTTTTCTTTTCAAAAATTCCAAGGGGCTTCATCAAGCCCCAAGTTCCACGTCTTCGGAGGAGGAACAGACCCTTGTCCTTTTTTCCCATATGTGATTTACTTAAGAAGTCTAAAGTAGTTCACCCTCCAGTTTAGGTAGCTTCATTTTTGAAGGCTGGGCTTTCCAAGTTTATTTTTTTAAAATCTGTGCGTGTGGCCACACAGACTGCATTTCCCCCCCGGTTTTGCTCAGCCAATGTCTTGCGCTCTGGTTCACTTATTCCAACTCTACTGAGCGGCTGGGATGGTAACCTGGGAGATCCTGATAGTCTTTTGAGTGGAGCTCAGCGTTCCCAGCAACTTTTAGCGGGGGGCTTTAAAAGAAAGAAGACCTAGCTTTTTAAACTGTTCCTTGGTTCATTGAAAATACCGTTTTTTCCTGTGGGGAGCCTGAGGAGTCAGAAGTAATCAGAAGTATGGGGGAACCTAGTCTGAGTGCTTTCTGGAAGAGGGTTAGAATGGTAGATCAGAACACTGAAAACATGGTTTATTTAATACTTCAAGATGTAGCTGCTGCTCTCGGGGACATATCTACTAGATAAATGATTCACCAGTTTGCATCTTCAGGTTCCCACCCCTTGCTTTATCAAAGGGGAAAAAACTCTGGCATTTAATGTTCTGTGTGTAGTTGGAATCTTTTTGTCATTAGGCTTCAGAGCTTTAACCTGTGAAGAGGAAAGGCTTTGTGCAAACAGGATAGAGAGAAATGAGTCAGGGGTAGAGTTAAGCCTGAGAAGGAGGAGGTTGAATGGATGGCTTGAAGCCATGGGAAGAATGTTGTGGGGATTAGATAAGGAGCTGCCCTTTTCCTTAGGGCTTTAGGCTAGCTGTTGAGTGAAATCTCTGAAGGGTGATGCAGGAGTGGGGCCTGGGCTTCGGTAAGCTGTGCCGAGTAGGAGGGTCCCTAACTGAGGCATGAACTGGAAAGACTATCAGGATCGCCCAGGTTACCATCCCAGCCGCTCAGTACAGTTAGAATAACTGAAGCAGAGCACAAGGCATTGGCTGAGCGAACCCTGGGGGACATGCTGCCTGCATGACCACAAGGCATAGATTTAAAAAAAAGCAAAAACTACATGGGAAGCCCAGCCTTCAAAAATGAAGCTACCTAAACTGGAGGGAGAAATACTTAAGAGTCGTCTTAACGTAAATCACATCTGGGACCACATAGTGGTTCCCCGGGAGGGAGAGTTGGAAGTACTGCCTAAAGCAGAAGGAGATTCAGGTATTAGGAGAAAAATGAAGGTTTCTCTATTGGTAGAGATTTGAATGTCTTTGCATATAATTACTTCAGAGTGAGGCAAGGAATATAATAAACCTTTCATAAAGCCATAAACCTGTGGACTAATTTCTGCTGGACATTAAATTTAGCTCAGCAAACTTCTGTTAACATATTTATCTTCACCCTATTTTTCTTTCCTCTTAATTTTCGCAGCTGTTCTTTCGAAAACATGTAATGATAGGGTAACTAAGTAAGAAGAAAGGATTTTTCATGTATTTGTAGGTTCCTTGAAAATAGGGGAGCTCAGGCAGATGGAGTTCGAGAACTCATGGGGGACGGGTAGACTCTCCGGTAAGCGTGATCTTTTCGTGCCTGAACTGATCCCACACTCCTTGTATACTTGGAGTTCTTGGTGATATTACTAGATGGAAGAGAAGCAGTATTAAACTTTTTATAATCCTGGGTGTATCAGAGGAATATGAAGACCTCACTTGGTGACATATTTACCTTCTCTGCACTCAGGCTGTAATTTTCAGTATAGGATTTTGCTCACACGTCCCCCAGATGACCCATAAAACACAGGATGGAGCCGTGGGAAGATGAACTATGTCTCAGCATCCAGCAACCTTTGTGGTTTGTAACCCCGGAGTACTTTTACAGAAAAGTAGGCAAACTTTTTCTGTAAACGGCCAAATAGAGAGTATTTTAGAAACTGTTAAGCTTTGCTTTTGTAGAGTGGAATAGACTTATAGGACATATATGCAGTGTGTGCATGCAGCAGTACACACGTGCCGTCCATAAGTGAATGATCCAGTGTACCTCGATTTACAGAACAGACACCTAGCTGTGGTTTGCCAGTGCCTACCTGCGAGCATCACCCCTTCACACACGTTACTGCTTTTGTATATTCCTCTGTTTGACGGGGCCCAGTACCTTTTAGACTGACCAGTGAGTGATATTAATGATTAACCTCCTGGATGTTTGCTTTGTTGACTGTTTGTTTTCTTATTCTCTTAATATTTGTCATCATTTTAACCCTCTTCCTCCAACCTCTTTTTAAAATGTTTTTTCAACAAAGATTTGCTACTGAGTGAGGAATAAAAAAATTATGAATTAGATTTGAAATATGACCTTCATCTGTATAGTAGGAGAGGTTAGACATACATAAATACATGATGATGATAGATTACTATAATGTCTTAAATTACTATAGTCCTTGTCAACCATGTCATACTTTCATATATTGTTTCTCACATAGATTTTGATCTTTATAGTAACCCTGAGAGATAGGAGGCTAAGTGTTAGAATATTCCTTTTTTAAAAAAAATTATTTTTTTTGCCTGTGCTGGGTCTTCATTGCTACACAGGCTTTTCTCTAGTTTCAGTGAGTTGGGGATGCTCTGTGTTGCAGTGTGTGGGCTTCTCATTGCGGAGGTTTCGTTTGTTGCAGAGCATGAGCTCCGGAGCACGGGCTTAGTTACTCTGCGACATGTGGGATTTTCCTGGACCAGGGGTTAAACCTGTGAGTCCTGCATTGGCAGGCGGATTCTCTGAGCCACTGGGGAAGACCCAATATTCCCTTTTGTGAAGGGGAAGGAAGGTAGGAAAGAAAACTGAGGCGTGGGGGGTTGAGGGGTGGGCTTTTAGTTATTTGACCAGAAGATGTACTAGAAGGCAGAATTACTGACCTGTTCCTCTTTGAATACTTACAGTGATGCGAACCCCCTGGGCCACCCATTCTAATTCGGAGACTAGTTTTTAGGACGCTTGTCCTTCCCAAGCTGCAGTTGGCCTCTCTGGGAGTGTCGCCTTTCAGGGCTGTGTAGAACAAGTCTGTTTCTTTTCCCTCTGACAGTTCTTCAGATGCTGGAAGATAGCCATCATGTTTCCCAGACATGAGTTGCAGGTTGGTGTGCATGGATCAGAAAAGGCCTGTGCACGTACAGTTGTTCTGCCCAACTTACACCAAGTGTTACATTGGGTGTCAGCTCTTAGAAATTGGGAGATTTCACATGAAAATCTCTATTTCTGGTTTTCTTCAGAAAAAGAAGCTTCAGTGTTGTAGAGTTCACATTTCTGATGATGGTAATCTCCTTGAGGGCCTACTCAGGTGGTGCTAGTGGTAAAGAACCCACCTGCCAGTGCAGGAGATGTAAGAGATGCAGGTTCCATCCCTGGGTTGGGAAGACCTCCCGGAGGCAGGTGCGGCAGCCCGCTCCAGTGTTTTGCCTGAGAGTCCCGTGGACAGAGGGGCCTGGGGCTGTGGTCCACAGGGTCCCGAAGGGTTGGACATACAGTCTCGTTTAGATGCCAGATATCCTGTCCATTTGGCTAAGGTCTCTGCCTGCCAGCTTCAGTCTTGTATAAACTTCACTCTCGAGGCTCCTGTGGTCATTGAGATCACCGTCCTGTTTCCTGGGTCTTCAAGTCCATAGACTATCGATCCTCATTCCCTTCAGATGTTTCTTATTTGACAGTTTCAAATCCCCTGACCTATTTCTTAGTCCTCTGTCCTGCATTCACTTTGTTAAAGTCCCTCTTAACGTGTGGTCCTCAGTGCAGCATACAGTATTCAGTATACAGTGTCATCTAACAGAGGACAGAGTAGGGGGGGACACTTACTCTTCTGTTTTTGACATACTTTGTTAAAGCATACTTTGTTTAAAAAAAAAAAAGACCAAAAAAAAATAGGTGATAATTTTTTTCCCTAATCAGTCTTACATATTAGTATATATATAATTTTTTTTATTGGAGTATAGTTGCTTTACACTGTTGAGTTGGTTTCTGTTATACAACAGA